GTTTCTTAAACTACCTACATTTGTCAAAGTATTTACGAATTTTCGAAAATATTCGTCCACTAGTTTTATTGTTGGAATGAAATATAGCAAGACTTGCATTGCCTACTTAGAAAGTTAGTAGCCGGTAGACATCGGGTTAACTGACTTTCGAGAGCCAGCAAGCCCCTCTAATCCCTTTTGAATAAAAAAGGGAAACATTTGCCCTAAAGATTTTTTTGAGAAAGAATGCATGATAAGAAAATGAGGTAAAGGGACAGAATTGGGTAGAGACTGCTGTTCAGAGTCTTCAAGGCGTGGTCGTTTACCAATGAGCAGAGTTTTACTAGTTTTCAAAAGGATTTGAGGTATGCATAATATAAGGAGAAAGATTCAGTGACCATTGACCCCACCCATCATGTGATCCTATGAGGGGATGCACTACAAGGTCAAACAAGGACACTGCAGCAACGCCAGGGTTTCGTGAACACCATATCCAAGCACCGGCATCAGACGTGATGTCCACAACACTCGCTGACTGGTTTCTCATCTGTTTTTTGGATTTTGTCTGATAGATGGGGTATCCTCAACGCTTTTGGGTGCTATTACCACAGGCAATCTCCGTTATGACTTTTGGATGACGATTGGAAAGTGCGAAGGTTTTTGTTTCTTTAAATAGAGTTTTCATTTTATATGTTTACATATATTTTCATTTTTTATACATAGAACGAAACAAACGCCGCAGAAAAGGAAATCCAGACAAAAGTCGATGAACCGAAGGTAAGAAGCTCTTAATTTCATATAGAGATATCACAACATATCAATGAGATGTTTTTAATTTAGTTTATAAACATTTTATGTGTAGGAAACAAAAACTAATAAAAATTACAACAATCAGAGGAGTCTGAGTATTGAATAATACTACAATAATAAAATATTACATAAATAATTTTACAAACGGTACAATATCTTAGTTATACCAGCCTTCATAAACGTATATTTAAACTATAATAATTCCTGAGTGATGTTTGGTTAGCTTTTTCTGACAGTTTATCTGTGTTTGTCTGTTTGTGTCAAGTACAACTTGTCTAGACATGAATATAAGAAAATAAATAAATTAACTTTCAGCTAACCATATGCTTTCTTCATTTCGAAATGAAATTAAACGCATGTTCAAATTGTCATCATTTTAATTGTGGTTGTTGATTAAAGTGCTCTCTCCCTGTAAAAAAAAACAGAGTTGTACTAAAAACACTTTCCTAGAAAAGCTTTTCGATTTCAGTTATAATATTATAGAATATTTACAGATCTAATATAATCAAATTGTAAACCAAAAATTTCAAAACAAACTTCAAACACTAAGAAAAGAGTTACGTGTGTTAATAAACATTATTTTGTTTCAAAACTCTAGTACAAAAAACAAAACTTTCTTACAAATGAAAGCAATGTATTTATAGAGACACGAATCCCGCTACCCTATATAATGACTTTTTCAAATACACATTAAGAAGCTTACAACGTAACTATAAGGGATTCCAGGAGATTGTCAAGCGAATTCCGGCACTATTCTTTCAAGAGTCGAAACGAAATAAAATTAAATGAACACAGAATAAACTTTGAGAGATTCTGGTTTGCATTACATACAAGTGATACATGTTCCTCTAAAGTTACTTAATCATAGTCGTTGTTTATGCTTTAAGCCATGCATTTCATTATCTTTCAAAACGTAGGCGTCTATTGTGAATATCAAAGACGAAGGCAGAGTCAAGAGTGACATCTTATACACAGTGGATGAAGTTCCTCGTTGGTACCTCTGTGTCTTATTTGGGATTCAGGTGAAAACATGAAGTTTAATGTCATTGTTTTATTATATAATACTACATAAATCAGTAATATTTAACATTCTTACATACCTATATTCTATTTTAAAGTTATTATTTTTCATTAAACCTTTACCTACTTAATTATCTTCATACGTCTGACCTGTAGATAATATTCCTCATGTTTAATGATGATGATGAGGTTTTTCTTCACGGAAATTATTTAAATATTCCTTGTTCTTTATGTAATACTGTCTGTTATAGATGGAGAGCTCCACTCAGTGAATCAGTTATTCGTACGTTTGCAGTACTGCTTTCAAAGACTATCTCAGCTGTAGATATGATGTTTCTACGGCAATGTTTCACCATATTTCCTTTATTAGAACATAGAATTTTGAAACGAACTTTATTTTCAAAAGTCGTTTTTACACAGTATTCTTACTACTAGTCTCTATATTTTATTACAACATAGAATTTTGAAACCAACTTTATTTTCAAAAGTCATTTTCACCCAGTATTCTTACTACTAGTCTCCATATTTTATTTCTTAGCTTCACCGTGAAATTTGAAATTTTAGTGAGAAGTCCAGTGATTAATTTTGATGGCTAAAGAAGTCATACATCATACCCACTGCTGTTTCCTACTACAAGAAATCTTATTTTGATCTTTGATTTGTTCAGGGTTACAACATGTCACACAAATTATCGGTCAATGCAAAACGTTTTACTCTGTGTTTTCATATAAGTTATGGAGTGAGTCTTAACTGGAGACATACTGGTATTTTGATTTGAGACATTAATGTTCGTGTTTTTGAAGGTATCGTATTGAATGATTATCCTTTGCCTAATAAAAGGGTATTATTAGATCTTTGATTTATCGAAACAAAGTCACACGTGGATTTAATTATAATGAATTACACTTGTCATAAGACATTATATTAGGCCTATTATATTTTGTATCGGAACATTCTTTATCTAGTTATTTAAGGATTTTCAAGAATTAGAGGATCTATATAAATAATACGCTTGTGTTTTTGTGTTCTCGCAAAATCTTGATCAAATGCTACAAGTCTTATATCCTTAGAAAGACCTTTGTCCGAGGAGTCCAGATTGCATATTGGATTTTCCATTCAGAATATTGTTTGTTTGTTTGTAGTTAAGCAGAAAGCTACACAAAGGGCTATCTGTGTT